TTGTCTCTCTGTCTCTCTACACTCCTCCGATAACCTGTTCTCCACACTTTTCAGATCTTCAGACATGCTCTTCTTATAAGATTTAAATAAAAATTCCCGAGGGCCTGAGGAACCGACTCCTGTCCTCAACGTTTCGAGCTCCTCCTTCAAATTCACCTTCTCTGGGTTGAGCTCGGTGGCAGCTTTGAGGAGCTCTGAATGGGAGTCTTTCAGCTGAGCATGTTGTTGACCTTCCTCCTTCAGATCTCGTAGGTGTGGGCTGACTTCACCTTCTGCTTCATCACACCTCATCTGAACTTTCTCCAGCGACTCCTGCTGCAAGCAGATCCTGTCGGTCTGTTCTTCGAAGTGTAAGTCGATGATGTGTGTAAAAGGCTTCGGTTCACCTCCTGTAGCTTCTGGTTCTTAACCGAGGACATTTCGATCCTTTCGCACAGATCTTTGTTCTGATTGTTTAAGTTTTGGATCCTCTGGCCCAGTTCAAATTTACAATCTATTAAGGTGCCGATCCTCTCGTTTTGTTGCTGGGTCTGATTTTCTAAGATTTGGATCGTCTCGTTTTGTTGCTGGTTCAGATTTTCTAAGTTTCGGTTCTCAAGGTCTAAGTCATGGATGCTCTGGTGCAGGTCGAGTGTAGAATCTTTTAAGCAGTGGATCTTCTCGTTTAGTTGCTGGTTCTGATTTTCAGTGTTTCGGGTCCACTTATGCAGTTCCTGGTTCTGATTGTTTAAGGTTTGGATCCTTCCGTGCAGTTTGAGGTTATGATCGATTAAGGTGTCGATCCTCTCGTTTTGTTGCTGATTCTGATTTTCTAAGTTTTGGATCCTCTCGTTTTGTTGCTGATTCTTATGTTCTAAGTTTTGGATCCTCTCGTTTTGTTGCTCGTTCTGATTTTCTAAGTTTTGGATCCTCTCGTTTTGTTGCTCGTTCTGATTTTCTAAGTTTTGGATCCTCTCGTTTTGTTGCTGATTCTGATTTTCTAAGTTTCGGTTCCTCTCGTTTTGTTGCTGGTTCTGATTTTCTAAGTTTTGGATCCTCTCGTTTTGTTGCTCGTTCTGATTTTCTAAGTTTTGGATCCTCTCGTTTTGTTGCTCGTTCTGATTTTCTAAGTTTTGGATCCTCTCGTTTTGTTGTTTTTCTGGTTCTTTGTTCTAAGTTTTGGATCTCTCGTTTTGTTGCTCGTTCTGATTTTCTAAGTTTCGGTTCCTCTCGTTTTGTTGCTGGTTCTTATGTTCTAAGTTCTGGATCCTCTCGTTTTTGTTGCTCGTTCTGATTTTCTAAGTTTTGGATCCTCTCGTTTTGTTGCTCGTTCTGATTTTCTAAGTTTCGGTTCCTCTCGTTTTGTTGCTGGTTCTTATGTTCTAAGTTCTGGATCCTCTCGTGCAGTTCCTGGTTCTCAGCCTCTAAGATTTGGCGTTTGACCTTAGGTCGGGATTTTCTAAAAAAAAACCAGGGCATTTTTTCTGTTCAAATATGCAGTAGAGAGAGAAAAGCTCTAGTGTAAACGTGCAGTAGTAGCTCTAGTAGCAGTACACGCAGTAGTCGTAGTACACGCAGTAGTCGTAGTAGACGCAGTAGAAGTGGCAGTATTCTATGTCTGTAGTGTTTGTTTCGTGTTACACTTATAATCTTCTTCAAAACAGTAAGTTGCTTTGTGCTTTGTGCTTGTCCTTTACTGATGATGTCATAAAGCAGAGCGCTGCTTTGAAGTAGCAGTAGTAAAAGTATTAATAAAAGTATTCTGTCACTCAAAGTTTACTTTAAAGCAGCGTCGTGCTTCTCTGATGATGTCATCAAGCAGAGTTCTATCACCATGGAGATCCAGGGGCGGCATTAGAACATCACGTTGCTACGGCGACAGCTTCTCAGGCTCCAAAACTATTTTAGATTCCAGAATGTGATGATGGTGTAACGCGGGTGACAAAACCGCCTTAGCAACAAACTCTCTTGCCTCGCTCCTGCTCTCTGTTTGCGTCCCTTTGCGTGCGTCCGATCATGTGACCGCGGCCGCCCAATTAGGATCTTATATTAGCGCGAAACCCGGAAGCGCGGCAGACGCGAGAGAGATAAACAAACGCGAGCTACAGGTTTGTTTTTAAGCCTCAATTAGCTTCAATCCGCGATGACAAGTTACTAAACTCACCGTTTTAAATGTTTAAATGTCAACTTGTAGGAGCCAAAAACCATCGCCCTTTGAGCGCCCAAGCGAGCCGTATAGTGACGATCTGACGGGATTGTTAAGCCCCGCCCAGTCTCTGTTTGTTTGTATGGTTAGCTTAGCCTAGCCGCCTCCGGCCTTGTTTATGCCAAATTTCTAATCATTTCTGTTGCACTATTGTGGTCCAATTTGACATGTAATCACCATCAAATGATGACTTTTATTGTCTTTTAGTGTCCACTTAGCTTTACATTGTGCCTTAAATGATTGAACTGCCTTTAGCACTTTAAATCCAAAGCTGCTGTGCTATTTGAATGTTATTTTCATGCACTTTAATTCAAAAAGGATTTTTAATTAATCATTTTAATTATTTTGATTAATTAATTTAACAGTCTAGTATATTGTACAATATTTGAATATTAATTAGTATTTATATATTTTATAATACCACTAGTGTTGTGGAGTAACAGATTACATGTACCAGAGTAATCAGAGTACAAATGATGAGTAACTGTATTCAGTTACAGTTACTGTTTTAATGAGTGGTAATTGGATTACAGTTACTTTGTTGAAATAAGTGGATTACAAGGCGGTATTCTCCTGTTTTCACATTTTGTGCTACATCCCATTTATTTATTTATTTATTTATTTATTTTGGTAATTCCACTCATTGCCGGAAACTCAAACAGAACGCGACAGTAAGAGCGATGGAAACGTCATGTTCACGTTGGCGGCGTCAGTCACACAGTGGACGAGGTGGAAGAGCCAGAAGAACAGAGCAGCACAGGGAAAAACACATCTGTGTCTTGGAAATTCTTCTCCCAACGTGAAATACAAATATATAAAAAAGAAAACTAATATAAAATCACCTACAAGTTAAATGTCAAACCAGAGCGACTGACGCGCACACACACACACACACACACACACACACACACACACACACACACACACACACACACACACACACACACACACACACACACACACACACACACACACACACACACACACACACACACACACACACACACACATACACACACACACACACATACACACACACACATACACACACACACACACATACACACACACACACACACATACACACACACACACACACACACACACATACACACACACACACACACATACACACACACACACACACACACACACACACACGTGCTTAAACACGTGTCACATGTTCATCATGAGTGAAGTGTCTTGCCAAAGGACACAGTGGTAGTTCAGTTTGTACCAGAGCCTCAAGTCTCCAACAACTGACCAGAGCTGGACCTGCTCCAGACCTCCACACATATCTCACTCTCCTCCCTCTTTCTCCTCTTTTCATTCCTTTCCTTCTTTTTCTCTTTTCATTCCTCTCCTTCTTTCTCTCTCTCCTCCTTTCATCTCTCTCTCTCTCTCCCTCTCTCTCCTCTTTTCATTCCTCTCTCCCTCTTTCTCTCTCCTCCTTTTATCCCTCTCTCTCTCTCTTCTTTACATCCCTCTCTCTCTCTCTCTCTCTCTTTTTCTCTCTCTCTCTCTCTGTTTCTTTCAGTCATGCTCTTGACCTTGAGTGACCTTCTCTCTGTCCCATGGGAGAATCAATCACCTTCAAGCTCCACTCCACACCGAGCTCTGATTGGTCCGTTTGAAATGTCCCGGACGAGAGGACACGAGCGGCCATCTTTACTCAGGTCACAGAGACAGCTTCACCTGCCCAGAGTGTCCATGGAGACTGAACCAAGGACTGAACCAAGGACTGAACCAGGACTAGAACCAGGACTAAACAAGGACTAAACCAGGGACTAAACCAGGACTGAACCAGGACTAAACCAGGGATTTAAAATTTAGATTTTAAAACAAAAATCTAAATTTCAATATTTCTGTAAAAATGTCAATACTAGATTAGAGTTAATTAAATATTCGGCGTCTCTGGAGACTGTTCAAAGATCCAAACCTCGTTATAATCATGTCTCATTAGCATCTCATTTGCATCTCATTATCATACATCAGCATAAGTGGACACGCTAAACGATGTCGACACACGAACGACACACGAACGACACACGAACGACACACGAACAACACACGAACACGAGACACAGACAGAGGAGGAGAGGGTTTCAGTCAAATCAGGAACAAAACCACACGACACAAATCTAATTTACACATTTACAAATATTCAGACTGAAAAAAACAAACAAAACACTTTCATACAGGGCAGTGTTGGTGAAGTGTCTTGCCTAAGGACACAACAGTTTTTGTGACTGGCGTCTCCTGTGGCTCCTGATTTTAACAGAGTCTCCATCCAAGTCCAGACCAGGACCAGACCAGGACCAGACCAGGACCAGACCAGGACCAGACCAGGACCAGACCAGACCCAGACCTGCTGAGCTGATCAGCTCTGAGGGGATCAGACTTTGACAAACCAGAGTGTCCTGCCTAAAGACACAACAAGAGAACCTGGACAACTCCAACCACAGAGCCTCTGTCGCCCCAAACAAGAACTAGACCAGGACTAAAACCAGATCTGAACCAGGATCAAATCAGGTCTAAACCACATAGAGAATGAACTTTTGTCCCTTACTGTGACCCATAACAGCTGTATACAGTGTACTTGCGTACTTGTGAACTTGTGAACTTGCGTCCTTGCGTTCTTGCATCCTTGCGTTCTTGTGTACTTGCGTTCTTGCATCCTTACGTCCTTGTGTACTTGCGTCCTACTTGCGTGTGTACTTGTGTGTGTTGTATACTTGTGTACTCGTGTGTGTTGTATACTTGTGTACTCGTGTGTGTTGTATACTTGTGTACTCGTGTACGTGTTGAGTCTTACTGCGATCCGTAGCAGGGTGCTCTTGACCGCCGCCCATCGGTCCAGTCGTCTGTCGATGACCAGGATGAAGCCCAGACCTCCAGACGCCGTCCTGGAACAAACACAGAGACACATTTAAAAACATTTTAAATATTACAAATCTAAACTTAGAAACACATTTAAAACATTTAAAACATTTGAGAGCCGCTCACAGACACTGGCAGAACATGTGAACGAGCCACAGGGAACTGGACCTGTGACCTCCTGGTTCAGGGGTCGGACTGGAGGACTGATCTGTCTGCAGAGCACTGACAGACTTAAAGCTACAGTGTGTAACTTTCTGGAGGTGTCACGGGGAGAGAAAGTTAAAGCCACACTGAGGAACATTCTCCACAGAGACACAAAGGAACAACATCACCATGGAAACAAACGAAACTATTATTTTGGTGTGTCAATGAACCAGGACCAAACCAGGACCAAACCAGGACTAAACCCAGGACTAAACTAGGACTAAACCAGGTCTAAACCAGGACTAAACCAGGACTAAACCAGGACTAAACCCGTCTCCACTACAGTAAATAAAAACACGAGCAGCCGTCTGCGTTTCTCCGTTTCGTTGTTTCCGTGTTTTGGCGTTTTGTTGTTCTGTTGTTTCGATGTTTTGGCGTGTCCTTGTGGATGTTTTGGCGTGTTGGCGTAGATTTGGCGTGTTGGCGTAGTTTTGGTGTAGTTTTGGCGTTTGGAGCCGGTCTATGCTAATTCCCCGGTTGCCGTGGAAACGCTGGCGCCGCGTTCCGTTGCGTTTTGTTGTGAAATGGTATTGTGAGCGTCGCACATATGTTCACGAGAAAAACACACATCAACTGTGGCGAAATGACCGGACTCAGGCCCTTTTATTAATTTAAATTAAACTAAACACAAACAAACATCTGGAGGAGAAACGACCCGGAAATAGTATTCACAAAAATATTTAAATTTGTCATAAATTTACCAAAAAATATTAATTTAAAGCTCCAGTATTACAGAACATGGAACAGTGTGATATTAGATCTTTAACAAAAATAATTAACACATAAATATTAAAAAACAAGCAGAAAATATTTTTTTATTAACCATAAAATTGTATTAAACTGTGTATTTTATTTTTTTTATTTTAATACAAATTTTATAGTTAAGGGAAATTCAAAACAGATTTTTTTTATTCATTTAGTCAATTTATGAACAAATAAGTGAATTCCATTTCAAATCAAATTATGCACAAAAATCTGATTCTAAATATTAATTATCCACTATTTTCATGTTGTAATTAAGTAAAAAAATTCTAAAAAACCTTTACAAATTTTTATTTTTGATTTGAAATTTCCAAACCAATTAATAAATTTTAAATAAATCTAAATCTTGAGCTAAATCCATAATTTTGTCATGTCAACAAACTGCTTCTGTTAAAATTTTCTGTTAAAATTTGCCTGACAATTTGGTTTAAAATTTCAAAATAAAAGTAAAGATTTAAAACTGCGAAATTGTTTTTAAAATTCAAATAGTCTTAATGTAAAATCAGTTTAAATGCTCATTAACCTTCACTCAGGTACAAAACAAAACAAAGGTAATACCTCGAGAAACGCTTAAGCCATCCTCTTTTTTAATCCAAAAAATTTACGAGAAATTATAAAAAAAATGTAAATTCCAATAAAAAAAAATCTTAAAATTGTCGTTTCTTGTGTTAATCCAGAAACAGGTAGGTCAAAGGCAGATAGGAATTTAAAAAAATTCAAATACAACTAAAAAAATCTTCAATCCATCTAAAAATTTCACGAAAATTATAAAAAAATTTGTAATTCCGAGATTAAATTGTGAAAAAAAATTCCGTGTATTCCCATTTTCCTAACAGGTTTCCAACGGTTGCTGATGCTTCACGTCTGCAGTCTGAATCCGGCTCAAATCCAATCAGGAACGTGGAGGAAAAGGAGAGAAATTTCCCAGAATCCCGAGTGGAACGTTGTTGAATCGCGGCGTCATGGTTCAGTTTGGCGTTTTTCGGTTTCGCCGTTTCGTTTCTTTGGCGTTTTTCATCTTTACCGCATCATTTCATCCTCCTCTCCTCCTCCTCCTCCTCCTCTTCCTCCTCCTCTCCCTCTCCCCCCCAGGCCCGGCAGCGCTGCGTGAGAGCGGCCAATCACGGCGCGGGATTCCCGGGACTGCTGGCTGCGCTCGGCCAATCAGAGCGCGGCACGGGAGAGTGGGGGATGTGAGCGAGAAAAAAAAAGAAAAGAAAAGGAAAGGGACGCCATGACAGACGGATGAACAGAACAGAGAGAGAGAGAGAAGAGGGAGAGGAAGAAGAGGAAGAACGTGTGGTTTAACTGGGGAGAAGGAAAAGAAACTGGACCTGGTTTAGTCCTGGTTTAGACCTGGTTTTGTTCCATTTTAGTCCTGATTTTGTCCTGTTTTAGTCCTGGTTTAGACCTGGTTGAGTCCTGGTTGAGTCCTGGTTTAGTCCTAGTTCAGTACCTGGTCCAGAACCCGTTTTAGTCCTGGTTTAGTCCTAGTTCAGTAGCTGGTCCAGAACCCGTTTTAGTCCTGGTTTAGTTGTGATTTTGTCCTAATTAAGACCCTGGTTCAGAACCTGTTTTAGTCTTGGTTTAGTCCTGGTTTAGTCCTGGTTCAGTCCTGGTTTAGACCTGGTTTAGACCTGGTTTAGTCCTGTTTTAGTGCTGGTTCAGTCCTGGTTCAGTCCTGTTTTAGACCTTTTTTAGTCCTGGTTTAGTCCTATTTTAGACCTGGTTTGGTCCTGGTTTAGTCCTGTTTTAGACCTGGTTTAGTCCTGTTTTAGACCTGGTTTTGTTCCATTTTAGTCCTTATTTTTTCCTGTTTTAGACCTGGTTTAGTCCTGGTTTAGTCTTGGTTTAATTCCAGTTTACTCCTGGGTTAGACCTGGTTGAGTCCTGGTTTAGTCCTAGTTCAGTACCTGGTCCAGAACCTGTTTTAGTCCGTGTTTAGTCTTGGTTTAGACCTGTTTTAGACCTGTTTTAGTCCTGGTTCAGTCCTGGTTCAGACCTGGTTCAGACCTGGTTTAGACCTGGTTTAGACCTGGCTTAGTCCTGGTTTAGTCCTGGTTTAGTCCTGGTTTAGAGCTGGTTTGGTCCTGGCTTTGTCCTGGCTTAGTCCTGGTGGAGTCCTAGTTCAGTACCTGGTTCAGTACCCGTTTTAGTCCCATTTTAGTCCTGGTTTATGTACAAGAAAATCATGGATTATTTATGTGAATCTTTTTTTTTAAAGGCACAAGAGCAGACAGGTGCAGACAGGAGCAGACAGGTGCAGACAGGTGCAGACAGGAGCAGGACAGGCAGCAGACAGGTGCAGACAGGAGCAGACAGGCAGGTGCAGGCAGGTGCAGACAGGAGCAGACAGGAGCAGACAGGAGCAGACAGGTGCAGACAGGAGCAGACAGGTGCAGACAGGAGCAGACAGGAGCAGACAGGAGGTGCAGACAGGCAGGTGCAGGACAGGTGCAGGACAGGAGCAGACAGGAGCAGACAGGTGCAGACAGGAGCAGACAGGTGCAGACAGGAGCAGACAGGAGCAGACAGGAGCAGACAGGAGCAGACAGGAGCAGACAGGAGCAGACAGGAGCAGACAGGTGCAGACAGGAGCAGACAGGTGCAGACAGGAGCAGACAGGAGCAGTATAGTTCTTGTGTCCGTGAGGTGACCTGTGGTGTGGTGCTGCCCTCGTGTGGACGTGAGGCACATTACAGTTCTTGTGTTTCTCTGTGGGACCCTGAGTCTGAGTCTGTGTCGGTGCAGCTGCTGCGGCTCAGATCAGGCACAGACTGGACGAGCTCAGCCAATAAGAGTCAAGCTCCAGGGAAGGGGGCGGAGCTTCATATTACAGAGCTCCTGTTTCCATGGAGACCAACAACAAACGACAACCAAAACTGACCACGCTCCAGAAGAAACATTTACCCACAGATCCAGGTCCAGTCCCGGTTCAGTCCCAGTTTGGTCCTGGTTTGGTCCTGGTCTAGTCCGGTCTCAGTTCAGTCCTGGTCTGGTCCTGGTCCAGTCTTGGTTCAGTCCCGGTCTGGTCCTGGTCCGGTCCCAGTTCAGTCCCAGTCCAGTCCTGGTCTAGTCTCGGTTCAGTCCCGGTCTGGTCCTGGTCTGGTCCCAGTTCTATCCCGGTGTGGTCTTGGTCTAGTCCTGGTCTTGTCCAGTCCCGGTTCGGTCCCGGTCCCGTACCTGTGTATGGAGGTGAGGTAGGTGAGAACATGGTGAAGTTCTTCTTCTTGAATCTCGTGGAAATCTGGGAATTCTGGGAAAATGATGATTGGTCCTCCACTCAGACCCCGCCCCCCTGAAACACGGAGAGGAAAAGAGTCAGATGCCCTCCCACAACAACAACAACAACAACAAACATGAACAGGAGTTATTATAGTAGTAGTAGTAGTTGAAGGAGTACTTGTAGTATTTGTAGTAGTAAAAGTAGTTGTAGTAGTTGTATTACTAGTAGTATTTGTACTAGTAGTTGTTGTAGTAATAGTAGTAGCAGTAGTAGTAGTAGTTGTTGTTGTACTTGTTGTAGTTGTAGTAGTAGTAGTAGTAGTAGTAGTAGTAGTAGTACTTGTAGTAGTTCTTGTAGTAGCAGTAGAAGTAGTAGTTGTTGTACTTGAAGTAGTAGTAGTAGTAGTAGTAGTAATAGTAGTACTTGTAGTAGTTCTTGTAGTAGTAGTAGTTGTAGTAATAGTAGTTGTTGTAGTAGTAGTAGTAGTAGTAGTAGTAGTAGTAATAGTAGTACTTGTAGTAGTTCTTGTAGTAGTAGTAGCTGTAGTAGTTGTAGTAGTGGTAGTAGTTGTAGTAATAGTAGTTGTTGTAGTAGTTCTTGTAGTAGTAGTAGTAGTAGTAGCTGTAGTAGTAGTAGTAGTAGTAGTAGTAGTAGTAGTAGTAGTTGTTGTAGTAGTTCTTGTAGTAGTAGTAGTAGTAGTAGTAGTAGTAGTAGTTGTAGTAATAGTAGTTGTTGTAGTAGTAGTAGTAGTAGCTGCTGTAGTAGTAGTAGTTGTAGTAGCTGTAGTAGTACTTGTAGTAGTTCTTGTTGTAGTAGTAGCTGCTGTAGTAGTAGTAGTTGTAGTAGCTGTAGTAGTACTTGTAGTAGTTCTTGTAGTAGTAGTAGCTGCTGTAGTAGTAGTAGTAGTAGTAGTACTTGTAATAGTTGTAGTAGTAGTAATAGTAATAATAGTTGTTGTCGTCTCCATGGAGATGTGTAATGTTCCAGTGTGTGGCTTTACTCTCTTAATTCTTTTATTTATTTCTCTCTAAATCTTAAAACATTTCGATGTTAATCTGGTCTGAGGTGAAAAGTCCTCAAAATGGCGCCCGCAGACTCTGACCCAGATCCAGCTCCTTTCAGAAACCAGAGGAGGCTAACGCTAACGGCTAACGGCCCGTTTCCATGACGACGCAAACAAACACCACTCAATTATTTAACCCAGTGTGAAACTTTAAACTCCACCGACGACAACAGAGACCAGACCACAGACCCAAGACCCGCCGCAGGGGCCTGGGCTAGACCTGGTCTGGGTCTGGTCTAGTCCTGGTCTAGTCCTGGTCTAGTCCTGGTCTAGTCCTGGTCTAGTCCTGGTCTAGTTCTGTCTGGTCTTCTTATAGTCCTGGTTTTGTCCTGGTCTAGTTCTGTCTGGTCTTCTTATAGTCCTGGTTTTGTCCTGGTCAAGTCTTTATCAAGTTCGGGTTTAGTTCTGGTTAATTTCTCGTTAAGTCCTGGTTTATTTCTTGTTCTTGTTCTAGTCCTGGTTTAGTCCTCAATCTAGACCTGATTTAGTCCTGGTTTAGTCCAGGTCTAGTTCTTGTTTAGTCCTTGTTTAGTCCCATTTTAGTCCGTGGTTTAGTCCCCGTTTTAGTCCTTGTTTAGTCCATGGTTTAGTCCTGGTTTAGTCTCACTTTAGTCCTGGTTTAGACTTGGTTCAGTCCTGGTTTAGACCTGGTTTAGACCTTGTTTAGACCTGGTTTAGACCTGATTTAGTCCTGGTTTAGTCCTGGTTTGAACTCTTTTTTCGGTGTATGTAAAAACCCAGAGTCAGATTAAATAAATATAATCCAGATAGAACAGTTTAATTCCGTCTGTAAATGTTACGTAATACTTGGGTGTGCTGTTGCCGCGGTTACATCAGCTGCGTTTGTTTTCAGGATAAACCACATTTTCAGACACAACGAGACGATTGGATTAAGTCGAGGTCAGAGGGTCAGAACATTTAAACTGTTTAAACACGTGTGAGAGACTTAAAGCTCCACTGCGGGACTTTTCTGTAGACGGTTTGTTACACGCTCTTCTCCATGAAGACGTTATGACTGTGGTTCCTGCTTTAAGTCCTGGTTCAGTTCTGTTTTAGTCCTGATTTTAGTCCTGTTTCAGTCCTGGTTTAGTTCTGGTTTAGTCCTGTTTCAGTCCTGGTTTAGTCCTGGTTTAGTCCCTAGTTTAGTCCTGGTTTAGTCCTGGTTTAGTCCTGGTTTAGTCCTGGTTTAGTCCTGGTTTTAGTCCTGGTTTAGTCCTGGTTTAGTCCTGATTTAGTCCTGTTTCAGTCCTGTTTTCAGTCCTGTTTCAGTCCTGTTTTTAGTCCTGGTTTAGTCCTGATTTAGTCCTGGTTTTAGTCCTGGTTTTAGTCCTGGTTTAGTCCTGGTTTTAGTCCTGGTTTAGTCCCTGGTTTTAGTCCTGGTTTAGTCCCTGGTTTTAGTCCTGGTTTAGTCCCTGGTTTAGTCCTGGTTTTAGTCCTGGTTTAGTCTCTGGTTTAGTCCTGGTTTAGTCTCTGGTTTAGTCTCTGGTTTAGTCCTGTTTCAGTCCTGGTTTAGTCCTGTTTCAGTCCTGGTTTAGTCCTGGTTTAGTCCCTGGTTTTAGTCCTGGTTTAGTCCCTGGTTTAGTCCTGGTTTAGTCCTGGTTTAGTCCTGGTTTGTTTAGTCTCTGGTTTAGTCCTGTTTCAGTCCTGGTTTAGTCCTGTTTCAGTCCTGGTTTAGTCCTGGTTTTAGTTCTGTTTCAGTCCTGGTTTAGTCCTGTTTTCAGTCCTGGTTTAGTCCTGTGTTTAGTCCTGGTTTAGTTCTGGTTTAGTCCTGGTTTAGTCCTGGTTTAGTCCTGGTTTAGTCCTGGTTTAGTCCTGGTTTTAGTCCTGGTTTAGTCCTAGTTTAGTCCTGGTTTAGTCTCTGGTCCTGGTTCAGTCCTGGTTCAGTCCTGGTTCAGTCCTGTTTTTTAGTCCTGTTTTTAGTCCTGGTTAGTCCTGGTTCAGTCCTGGTTCAGTCCTGGTTTTCCGTTTAGTCTGTTTAGTCTGTCTGGTTTAGTCCTGGTTTAGTCTCTGGTTTAGTCCTGTTTAGTCAGTCCTGTTTTTAGTCCTGGTTTAGTCCTGCTTCAGTCCTGTTTTCAGTCCCGTTTCAGTCCTGGTTTAGTCTGGTTTAGTCCTGGTTCAGTCCTGGTTTTAGTCCTGGTTTTAGTCCTGGTTTTAGTTCTGTTTCAGTCCTGGTTTAGTCC